TTTTCTCTCAATAGCCTGGGGGTGGGGCGGGGGTGGGGTTTGGGGGGGCATGTAAGAAACTGAAAGTTTCCCTTTGTGTGGCTCTCACAGACGTTTCTGGAAGGGGTCAGTTGTTTCGGGTGATTCATCATCTACCCAAGTTGCCTCGCACTGAGAAGCCAGCTCAGACACTGCGGTTAAAAATAAATCTCTGCTTGCCCACCTTCTTATTAATATTCTGTGAGTGTTCTAAGGCCCTTCCGCCAACAGTGAGAAAAGTTCATTTTAGCTAATAGTGGCTACACTGGCTCTGATCAATTGGTAAAAGTAACTCTATAACTAAGCCCCTCAGTTCATTTCAAAAAGTGATGGGTCCCTGGCCAGGTGGCTCAGTTGGTTACAGTGTCGTTCCGGGCCCCAAAACATTTCTGGTTCACTTCCCAACCAGGGACACATACCTAGGGTGCAGGTTCAATCTGGTCAGGCACATACAGGAGGCAACTGATTGATGTTGATTTCTCTCTCTCTCTCTCTCTCTCTCTCTCCCTCTACCTCCCTCACCCCATTCCTCTCCCTCTAAAATCAATAAACATATCCTCCGATAAAAAAAAAATGTGATGGGGAAACACTAAATACTAAACCATCCAGGAAAAAATTACTTGCTTGGACAGTCTGCTGGCGTCTGAGTACCACTCACTAACCATACACATTGCTCTGTGAGTCAGTTTCTTCATAGGTAAGATGGAGATCACACAACACCTATTGTACTCATAGGTTAATACATATAGACTCTCATGATGGTGCCTGGGACATCGCATGCACTCAATACAAGGGAGCTATCATTAGGCAAACTCACCCCAATCATATTGATGGGAATGATTGTCATTTACTCCTCTCTTCCTGTGTGCCAGGCACGGGCGGAGAGCTCACGGTGTGGCTGGGTTATTCCCAGCACAGATTATACAGCTGGTCAGATGCAGGTTGGAGTCCTTCCTGCTCCAGCACTTCCTAACTTTGGCAAAGTCACTAACCCTCCCTGAGCCTGTTTCTTCATCTGCAAAATGAGGCTATTCATAGTCTCTACCTCATAATGTGAAGACCTGTGCACCCCAAGACTCTTGGCCCACAGTATATGGAAACCATCTGTATTATTTTTGTAGTTCTTAAGACTAAAATTAGCCCTAACTGGTTTGGCTCAGTGGATAGTGTCAGCCTGCAGACTGAAGGGTCCCAGGTTCGATTCCGGTCAAGGGCATGTACCTTGGTTGCGGGCACATCCCCAGTGGGGGGTGTGCAGGAGGCAGCTGATGGATGTTTCTAACTCTCTATCCCTCTCCCTTCCTCTCTGTAAAAAAAAATCAATAAAATATATATATTTTTAAAAAGCCTAAAATTATCTAAAAATTTTTTAAAAATTAAATATTGGGGTGGGGAAATCAAAAAATTTAAATGACAAAAGGATCAAAGCCACTGGCATTCTCAGTGTGTAAACTGATGTGATTATCTTTGTAATTGTAACCCAATTATATTCTTTCCACTCCTCCCTGTGAATAAGCACTCATCTTGATTTGACATTAAATCTGGTTTAAATTGTGAATAACAAAAACAAGCTGCCAGTGCTTAGATTGAGAAGCCTGGATCTGCTTCAGAAGAACAAATTACTTACACGTGCTTCAGGATGTGACCCACCATCCTCCCCTGTGACTCACAGCCTCAGCGTTGCTGTTCAACAAATCTAATCGGCCCCCACATGTGGCTGCTGCCCAGGAAAGGACTGGACCACTTGGAGGTCAAAGGACCACTTTGATAGCAGAGGTGACCTTCTAGAAACGCAGCAGGTTTGGCACATTTGGAGAAATGAGCAAGTCAGGGAGACCCAAGTGTCTTCATGAGGGTCAGGATGGCTGGCAGCCAGAAAGGTAAAGGAGAAACTTAGGCATGGGTCCCCGTACTGTGTGCAGGGTGCTGAGGTATACACTCTGCCCGCCTTAGCTCGCTTAATCCTCACCATGACTCCACCAGGAAGAAATCATTATTATCATTCCCATGTTACAGATTAGGAAATTGAAGATCAGAGAGGTTAAGCAACTTCCCAAGGTCACACAGTAGTAGAGTTGGGATATAGCAAGAAAACTGTATCTCTTGAGTGACCATAGGCATCTCTGCTTTGCTCACTTTCTTATTTGAACCAATACTGGACTGGCTATCTCTAACAACTCATCCTCTGGTGGGTCCTCAACTCAGAGAGTGGGATGTAGAGTGAACCAGATGAATGTCACATAACACACACTACGTACCAGATGCTCTACATCCACCATTTCGTTTGATCTTTACAAAAGGGAGTGGTTATCAGCTCCATATTCAGATGAGGTCACTGAGGCTCAGAGAGGTTAGATGACCAGACAGCTAAGTGGCTGCACCAGAACTCAAGCCCAAGGTTCCCAATGGCCAAAGCCCATGCTCTTTCCATTCATTTTATTTCCAAGGAAGACTCACAAGGTGAAAAAAAAAATCATCAAATGGGTAAGAAGAAATGAACCCTTCTCAACAACCCTGAAAAAGTCACCCTCCAAGACAGGCCTGCTCCTCATGGAGATGTTGCCATCATCCGATTCATCTTGCCTTCATATTGATCAAATCCAGGTAATACAGACCTTAAACAACTGAAGTCATTTTTGTTTGGGTCAGTTTTATTTTGTTTGTTTGTTTTCTTTGTTTTGGGCCTAAGTCACCTATTTTAGAGACCTACATGATCTAAATTATCTCGAAAGTTGCAACTACTCCTTTCCCCTCATCCCAATGTAGGTTCTTCTTTAAGAAACACAGATTCACAATCCCTTTCACGAAATGGGCATTTCTACATGAAAATACTTGCACAAGGAAAACGGAACCAGCATTGCCCTTGGGTGTTCCTTTGGTAGTTTCAGCCAGAAAAACAGAGCCGCAGTGAGCCAGACCAGCTCCCCTAACTCCCAGCTCGGTCCATGAGCTTCACACTTGGAAACAGAGTCAGCAATATCACTGCCTCCCACCCATAAAGCGCATCTGTGGTTTGGGATTCCACATTCTGCAAGGCAAGAGCAGTAAGTGGATTTAGGAAAGGACAGAGGTCCCAGATCCTCAGACACAGGCTTATGTGGAGGTGGCCCGATTCCTTCGCACAGAATTCCTTTAGGGACCGATTACTCTGAAATGTTGTTTGGGTGATGATGCACAAGACACTCGGGGGACGCTGCCTCCCGGGAGGACAGCAGTCTTTGAGCCACTCACTGCTGCGCATTACACATCGCTCACCGAAGGCAGAGAAAAAGCCAGAAAACAACCTCGATGCAGACTCATCTGAAGCATTTTAAACCGTCACAAGGCTGGACTGAGTTATTAAAATCTTTGTCCGAAAGCGCTCGCCCTTCCCGTTCACATCAACAATTTGACTCTTTACAGCAACTCTACAAGTCCACGGCCCTGCTTTTCCATGAAACTGAACTACTTAGCTTAAAATTAGAACCTTTGGAATATGTTGGAAGCACGAAGGGCAGAGGGAACAAAGTGGGCCTTGGTCATTGAATCTCTTAATTAGAATGATAAATGGTGTGCTTTAAACTTACTCCCACAACACCAAAAAGGGTGCGAGAGACCACAGTGTGTCCAAACAAACATGTAACCCGGGGGTCTCTTCAACTAAACTCAATTAAAAGTCAAGTCTGTGTGATGCAGTTAAAAGTTGGCAATTCCCTGGCCATCTTGGTAAGAGTGCAGAGCCAATCTGGCTCATTTTAGCTTCTGGAAGGAGGAGGAGGAGGAGGGGGGGGGAGGAATGAATCTGAAACTCCAGGCTATGGAATAAAAAGCATTAAAACCGGTGACACATAGAACAGTGTCTGGCACATAGGAAATGCGACAGAAATGTTAGCTGCTGTTGCTGTTACTAAGATAGTTGCGAGGCTGCCCAGAATCACAAAACTATTCAAATCCTTCGCCACACCTAGGCAGTTCACTTTAAAAACAACAACAACACACACACTCACACACACAAACACTGCAGATTTTTTAAAGAAGGCAGACCTGAAATCCCGAATGAGCAAACTCCCACCCCCAAAGAGCAAGGCGCCCCTGCCTCTGCCATGTTCCTGGGCAGAGACCACCTAGCAATTGGGGAGCTCAGAAGCTTTTACTTGAGGCTTGAGAAGATGCCAAGCACTTTCCATGAGAAACGGTCTAAAGAGACATTTGACCGCATTTTCCAATGAGAAGCATGTGTCCGGGGTACACACGCATCCTCCACTCACGTATGGATGGAAACAATGCTGAGTACATTCTGTCCCAAGAACTTACTCATGCTCCCTCTGCAAGGATCAACTTTTTCATTTAAATCCCAGAATCCTGCCAGAAAGCGGCCAACTGGAAGGTTGCTCTGAGAACATCTTCTGTGCAATCTATTAACCTCGTGGCCATTCCCAATAGCTAAACCAGATATTTCTTGTAGTTCAGGAAGCCAGAGAGTTGGTAAGAAGCTGTGTGTGTGTGTGTGTGGGGGGGGAGTAGGGGTTCTGATTTCCATGATCACCACCAGCGACATCTAATAAATTCCATTTAAACACCAACAGCAAAAGACTTTACTCACATGCTTACATTGGGTTCATTATCTTGTTAAGGAGATATCTGACTCTTGCAGACAATTTCTCAAAGGCCAGATCTGAATCACTCACAGATTTTCATAATCCATCTGCTTTTATCATTTAATCCATTGGTTGGGTTTCAAAAACCCGAGTGCTCACTGGTCTGATAAGACAACCAGCATTGAGCAGGTTCCTAAACAGTAGACGCGGATCATGCGAAATGTTAGCTGTTGCAGCCAATATCCTTAGCTCCTCGGTCCCATAAAGTGGGACACCTCCTTGAGGCAAGAGCATCTCCCCGGATGGATCACCTCCACCTAAGAATGCCTCTGAAAGTGGGTTGGTTAGTGCTTTGCGTGGGGAAAAGAAGCCAGGTGGTGGCCCTGGTCATTTGTGAGCACTAACCTTCTCCGAATACGGTCCTCAGGCCTCTTCATGGACACATACGTGGGTTATTCTAGGTGACCTCTTGTTAAAGAGTTTTATTTTAAATCCCAGCTAATCTCTGTTGTTCCCTGGACTGGTTTGATCTCTTGACACTTCATAGTTCAGGTCTACAGTGAGCTGTAAAAAGACAGTGTGAACAAGTCTGTTTCTTTCCCTTTCTTCCAGTCAATTCTGTTCCATCAATGACCCCTTTCTCCTCCTCTGCATAAACAGCGGTATAGGTGAGCCAGAACTAAAAATAAAAAGGTGAAGAAAAGAGCACAGTGAGTCCATGGCGCTCTTGACAGCGACCGTGTTGAGACAAGTTTGGGCGCTGGGATGTGTCAGCGCCTGCGCTCAGGAGCTTTCAGTTTGCTTTGAGTGCCTCTGGGTATTTTTAGAATCTGTAGGGAGAAGTTGAACTGCACAGGGCGACTGCTATGCTACTAATGACACCCTGAGCTTAAAGAAGCAGGATTCACAGGATTGTTGAAGCTTCGGGTGATAGAAAGCAACACCTGACTTAAGAATCACACATGCGTGAGGGTGGAAGGAAAAGGGAGGGGAAAGTCCTTGATAAACTAACCTGGAATGAAGTCTGCAGCCTTAGGTGAAAGTCACCAAATTATGAGACTTTTATGAGTTTGTGGTAGCCCTTCCTTCCTTCCTTCCTTCCTTCCTTCCTTCCTTCCTTCCTTCCTTCCTTCCTTCCTTCCTTCCTTCATCATTCTTTATTATTCCTTCTTTCTCTTCTTTTCATCTTCCCAGCATCTCCCTGGGGAACCCTGTGAGCCAGACCTAGCCAATCAGACAACTTTCTACAATGGTCAGACCAAGAGCGAGTGTAATCAAAGTCTGGCTAATGAGACTGTTCATTTCCTGAGGGTATCAGAAAAAAGGCACTTTTTATTGCTGGGATCATTCACTGTGAGGATGCTGTAAGCCTGTGCAGCCACAATCCATCATTGTCTGAAAGGGACAACCTAGGAAAGTCCAGCCAAGAGATGGGGAGGGAGATAAGATGTCCGTGATGGTGTCTGTGCCCTTGGTCCTGCTCTGTCTGCAGCCCGCTAAATCCCCAGACACTCCAGTTACCTTAGCCAATAAAGTTCCCCCTTCTTTCCCTTTGAGCTGGGGTTCTACCAAGAGCACCCCAAAGTATCCTAACTCAGAGCTCCTTTCAGAGCAAGTAAACAGTGGAGATAGCGTTCAAAGTCAATGCTATGCACCTACAAAGTCTGCGTTCAACCACTCTGTATTGTTTTCTTTCCACTGAACCACCCACGGCTCGATGGACCTTGATTTGCCAGTTATCTCACACTGTTTTCCCTCCTGGCCTTGTCAGCCTGTCCACATTTTCACAACCACAGAGTTCCTGCTAAACCCGTTCTGTGTCTTCCTGACTCTCCTGCGTTTGATTCTCCACAATCCCACAAGGTGATTCCTCAAGGTGGGCGAGAAGGGGCAACCAGGCCAGCTAACCCTCGGTGAGAGCATGAATCCATTTCTCAGGAAGAAGAATCCTCTATGTCAGAAAAAAACAAAAATCATCAGCTTAACGTTTCTCCTAAAAAGTAAAAGAATCATTCAGTCATGTTTTAGATACTTGAGGTATCACTGTTTCAGTTCTCCAGGAGTGAAAGGAACTGAAACGGTTCTTTTGAACCTCATTCTGAAATCTGATTCTGATTTCCCCACCGAAACACCACAAAGTTAAAAGCCTACAACCACTTTAAAAATGATTAAATATATATGAAAAAATGTATATACAAAGGCGTGTGGCTTATGACAATGAAATGGTAAAACTAACTTAAATGTCCAACAATAAGGGATTAGTTAAATCAATTGTATGGTATAGCAATGATTTTAAAATATGCAAACCAATTGAGTCATTCAAGTTATGTCAAGGAAAAATATATTGGGGGAGAGGGGAACTAGCATAATCCTAAATGAAAATTTCAGACTTTTAAAACACTACATAAACATGCAAATTTAAAGGACATAACATTGTAACAGTTGTGAGATTGTGGATGATTTTTGTTTTCCCTGTGCCTTTTGGAGTTGAAACGTTTTTTGTTGTTGTTTCTTTTGCTTTGAGCAACATTTTCTTTAGGTTGTTATGAAAGAGATATGCCTTAAGCAAAAAGCTGCAAAGATGAGGGAGATGAGGATGCTGCTGAGATTATCAGAGAAAAGGAAAGTACAAGCAAAATTTGTGTGGGTGAGAGCCCAGACTCTGGAGTCAACTCTCTGGATTCTAGTCCTTTTATTCATTCACTAAGCAACTAAGCAAGTTACCCAACTTCTCTGCGTCTCAGTCTCCCATCGAGAAAACATGGATGTTAATAATACCTACCTCTTATGGCCAGAGGTCATATGTGCAAGTTCACCAAGAATAACTTGGAGGTTGCCAAGGACTTGTTTTAAAGTATTTTCAAGTCTGACCTAGAACTCTGACATTTGGGGAAAACATAATAATACCTACCTCATTGGGTTGTTCTGAAGGTCACGTGAACTAATATGTATAACGCATTTAAGACGATGCCTGGCATAGAGTATGTTCTATGTAAGTTGTTGTTATCATTATAGTATAAACCACTCCAGGGCAACCACTCATTCATCTCCTCATTCCCCCATATCACAGGGCCTGGCACACCTGGCGCTTGATCAATGTCTGCTGAGTGGTGCCCAGGTGGATTCCAGAATGCGGTGAGAATGTTTCAAGGAGTGACCACCATGATACCATCTCACTCATGACATGAATTGCAGGATCCATGGACCTCTCCCTCCAGACCCTGTCCATAGGGCTCCTTGGTGCTGAAGGGACAGCATTTGTTCTAGGGGGACTGTCGAGAGCACCAATGGTTAATAGGATAAAGGCAACAGTTGAGACACTATTGCCATCTCCCTTCTCTGTCCTAGTCAGAACTTTTTTGGTTGATTGAAAGAGAAACACACTCACACACATGCTAACAAAAAAGGAGAGGATGATATTGCTAGGTATCGATATCTCATGGAGTCCAAGCACAAGACACAAAATAATAATAGAAGCTTGTCAAGTGCAATTCAGACCACTGGTTGGATGACTACGCAACAAAATTGGTTAGAGCTGGGAATGATCTTTTAAAATAATACCGTAATACTATAAACATTTTAACTGAAAATGTGTAAAAATGTTCATTTGCCAAACTCTGGATGACCTCAGATCCCTCGTGGAATATGGAAGATGACTGTTCACATCCATGTAGCTTGTCTCAGTCCTGACCTCATCCTTAGAATCCCACGAGTCTTTGAAAAGTAATATACATATAAGTGAATATGACCCTCCTCGAATAAGAAAGACCAACCCAGAGGCCATCTGCACAGCATAGGACCATAATTTAAAATGATATGTACACATTAGATCCGAGTATCCTAAATGAGTCCCAGGCAGTTTCAGCTTTAGGCCCAGGGCATTGCAGAATATCAGTTCATCGTGGCAGCTCACTCATTTGCCGAGTTACCTACCCAGCTGGCACTGTGGCATGTTCATCAGAGTCCCAATTTCCAAATCTTCAGAACACTGACTAGCTTTGGGGAGAAAAATACCATCACAAAAGTCTGGCCACGTATCTGCTTGTACTTTGGACAATTAAACAAAGAACTGAGAGCTTGAACTATCGAATTTGGGGGAAGAAAGGGGTTGTAGAATCCCAATCATCGACCTCATACTTTACATATGGGGAAAAAAACAAAGCCTAAAGAGGTCAAGGTGATGTGCCAAGGTTAGGAAGCCTACAGTCACAGAATCTGAGTGCAGTAAGGTTTTCCCTGCACTACTGTGTACCTAATGGGTCACCACCTGCTATGGCACAATTCACAGAGAGGCACTTGCATCCATTTCCCAGAGCTATGTGGTTTATAGGATGATTAACTAAAGAAGTATGTTAAAAATGTACCCACATGCTGAATGTCTGACAAGATCATTTTACAGGTGGGCCTCAGAGTGAACTGACAAAAGAGTGACATAAAAATATCCAAACATAAAAGCTCTCTCCTAGCGTTTCTTCTAAGCTGTAACTTAAGAAGTCCAGTAACTCTCCCAGCTCAAACCATGCTTACCCTCCTCTTTACGAATTAGGCAAATGGACAGCTTTCTCAGTGTACAGAGTGGGTAACAGGTGCTGAGAGCCTCCAGGAACTGGTCAAGTGCATGACAAGCGCATCATAGACGGTTTCTTAGTTCATCCTCATCACAGCTTTGCAAGAAAAATATTTTCTCCTTTTTTTCAGATGAGCCAACGGAGACTCAGAAAGGTCAGGCAATTGCTATGAAGCCACACGGCTAGCCTATTGGTTCCTAAAGTCTAAAGGTTGTGCAGCGCTTCTCCTCGCATTCTCCCCAGGCAGGAGGGCATGGTTGGCAGTAAAGTGATCTTTCCAGAGCACCTTAAAGATATACTGCTTGGGTCATGGCAGTGATCTCAGAGCACTAACTCACAATGTGCCAGGCCAGCCCATCTGCTCTCCTGACTTGATCTTTCCCCAAGGATTGTGTTTTCCTTCAAAGACACAGAGCTTGGTTTCATTTCTCTCTGGTTCCCTAGATTCGCCTTAGCATCTTCTAACCAACCTATATAATGAAGTTGTAAAATCTTGACCATCCAGGAATTAGTCTCATCAGAAGTGGAAGAATTACACAGAGGGAACAGAAAACAAGAAGCAAAATCAGCCTTGAAAAATTTCATTTTCCCTGGCCCTTAACCATGCTCCTTGCTTACTTTTCTTTCACAGCAGGAGGTTTTCCTCTTCAATGGAATAACTCAATTCTCAGGCCCATCGTGCCTTCTCTCATCCCTCACTCCTTTACTGGGTCAGAAAAAGAACATGTCTCTTCAAATGGGTATATTTTCTAGATACCTTCAGACATGACACCCTCAGATAGCATTGCAATGAAATTCAGGGATATTCATGTAAACCAACACTGAGGACAAGATGTATGTTATTACTTGGGTGGCTATTTTAAGCATTTTCTTTTAAAAGAGAGCAAAAGAAAGCAATTTTTGTTTTTGAAAATGAAAAAATCAGCTTTAAAAGGTTGTATTTTGGATATCCTAACAGATTTCAGGATATTGGACAATAGAGAAATACTGATACAT